GGGGGGGGGGGGGGGGGGGGGGGGCGAAGGGGCGGGTAAAGGATGAAGCAGGGGTTTGGTTTGAGCCAATGGACACTTCCGGCAACACACGCTTCCCGCGGAGAGAGGCTCAGTGAGAAAACCTCCGGTGTAGTGCACGAAGGAGATCTTGAAAACTTATAGAGGTGACCTCGCCATGAGTGTTGGCACTCATACTCCTCTTGAAACACAGCAACGATACATGGCACCCCTCTGGACAGAAGCGTCGACAGCCTTGGAATACACAGCCCTTGCTTCAAGCCTCACGGGAAACATAGCCATGTTCGTACGTATTCTGCGACGACGGCACACCAACGACGCCGCTCAAAAAAAAAAAATAACAACGGGAGTCACGTTGACCGGCCGCCATTCGCATCCAATCTCCCACGCTCAGGACGACACCACCAACAACAACCTTCAAGGTGTCATCCAAATAATGTCAGAACCATTCAAGAGCACCAACACCGTAACAGGCGGAGAGATGGCACCCCCCTACACCCATTTCAAGCTCGCTTGCTCCCTGACCAAGGAGTGTCCCACCACCACAAATGGTGGCTTTGGAACCATTTCGTCGAGGGCTTTCCGTGGAATTGCCGGGCTCTTTCCGAACCCCCTTGGCTATGGAGCAAAATCGAGTTTTTCAAAGTCAGTTTAGGGGGGTGCCATCTCTCCGCCTCTTCAGGAACATAGACATGAGGTGTGGCATGGGGTGTGTGTTGATTTTGTCTTTGGGTATTTTTAGTTTCAGTTTTGGGGGACACAATATTCTGGAGTGTACCTCCTCACGATACAAGCCCGAAAATAGAAAAGAAGCCGCTCACAATGGTGGTATCGTCACGTCAACCGCGGCTCCCGCCGGAGGGCTTCCCCTTGCCTCCCCCACCGAACCACCCTCTTCCGACATCCCAAGCGACGGGCCCCACGCGGGAACCCCACTCCCAGAATTGCCGACATCCGAGTGGCGCTTGTCAGGTCGAAACTGCCGTGTTACGTGCGAAACGCAGACAGATGACGCAGACAACAACGGTATTGTCGGCGAGAAGGGGGGATCGAGAGCAGTGCGCCACATGGGGGATGGCAACCGGAAATAAAATGAACGTGCATTGATGTACAGCTGGGATGATGATTGCAGGCGGGGGGGGGGGGCGGAGGACNNATGATGATTGCAGGCGGGGGGGGGAGTCGGAGGACGCGACAAAAGTGTCTACTTATGGAATGACAGACTTCACCCAAAATTTTACTGGTAGAAATGTAGGTACCGAAGGGGTGCTACTACCCGGTGGTGCTTACCGTGTCTAGAGCGGTGCTGTGCTCCAGTAGCTTGTTCATGTAGATCTTGAAGTCCTCCCTAGGGGACATCGAGACAGCGGAGGGGGGGGGGGGGGGGGGGGGCGCGAGCCATGGAGGTCAATACATTGTCTCACACTCTTGGCGGCCACACAATACGGATGGCACGCTTCGTTTTGGACAGAATGTGCAGAGGAAGGCGTCGTTTCTATAAACCGCCGTATTGAAACTTATCCACATAGGAACGGAACATGATGACTGCGCCTCCTCTGATTGCTGCCAGCTGCTGCCGACTACCATTGTACATATGCATAAACATACATACCTCACACCTCAGGATAGCCTGCTAAGGTAAGGTCATCCTTGGCATTGCCTCGCCACACGCAACATAGACAACAGACCCTTGACCCTGCCTCCAGGTGGCCTTCAAGTACGTGTTGCTACATGCGCCAAGGCACTTGAACTTTTGACTCCTAAGCAAATTGACGTTCCAACGTCTGCAATTTTTGACTGCACGAGAGATTAGACCTCCTAATATGGGGTAATCCAACATGGCCTACTGCTGAATAGATCTTGGTACTTCGAAGTTGTTGTTGCTGTTGTTGTTGTTGTTGATGATGTTGTTGTCTTCACATTAAAAACCGTTCCGGTACTGGTAGGTTCTAGCCCAGGGTACGTACTGACTGTGTGCTTTCGGACTGAGCACCTGTTCGTCGGTTGAGTTAATAATGTGGCGCGCAGTTCTGTACGAGAGGCTGCCGTCATGTCGTTCCACGTACTGCCATACCGCTGTTGTGGTGAATGTGCGTGGGGTAGGAGCATACTAGGTGACGTAAGATACCACCCCCCTGACCCGATTTTCAAAGCTCAACTACACTTCAACGACGAAGAGGGCACCAACATCAAATGATAGATTTTCCGAGACATCTCCACGAGGCGTTCCGACGCCGCCATTTTCGGCACCACCACTCGCTCTTCCTGCTCTAGGAGTAATGTCGAGCATTGAAGATCGGTCTGGGGGGTGATATCTTGCGTCACCCGTTAGGCAGGTGGCTTTCCCACCAGTGGTTGCCTTGTATGAGACACGCCCCCATAATCTCTTTGACTAAACACAGGAAATGAATCCATCATCATCGTGCCGCACAGATGAGAAAGGTAAGCGTCCACAGCCCTACCCTGCACATGAATTCGATTTACCCTGCACGGCGCATGATTCAGCCCTGATCGAAACAGAACTTCAAACAATGCACGCTGTGCTCACAGATCGCTTCTGGGCCGCTCGAATCTACATGCATCCCAAGTGCTGTTGGCATTGCTGACTTCCCCACTGACCGGAATATAGACAACAGCCCTAGGTTGTAAACGCTTGATAATCGTGCTGCTGTGACCACCATAGTTTAGAAGTTGAGGGTTGAACATGCGATTCATTGCTGCTGCCGTTGTAAACACGGTCGGTGGCCCGCTGCAATCCGACGGTTTGGAATTAAAGCGTTAAATATAGGAATGATTTTCCGAGTACCCTTTGGCGCGTACCTGGCTTGTTCGATGGCGTGGGGTTGGGAGCATACTGCTCTTCCTGACAACATAGCTGTTGGTGTTAGAGCTGCTCCTCTTGTGCTCTGCAGGGATGTAGGACTGCTGTTCCCCTGCTGATCACCGTGCTGCTGCGAGTGGCGTTGTCAAAACACCCCAACCAGCGTAACGGCACGACTTGATTCCTCGCTCTTCCCCCCTCTCTTCCCTGTCTTTCGCTTGGGTACAGTGCGTTGCTCCGACCAAGGAAAGCTAGTACGCTTTCAAGAGAGCGCCGCCGGAGGGGTGGGATATGCAGAGAAGTGAGGGGAGAGCCGAGAGCGGAGGGGAGAGGGGAGAGGAGATGAATGTGTCGTGTCCTGTCAAAGCGACCGTTCCTATTTTATCTCATCCGCGGAGCCCCCCCTCCTCCCCCCCGGCCGCGTGCTCTCGCTGGTTAGCCTTCGACTGCTGTATGCGGTTGGCGGCACTGGCGACTCCCACCCCGACACACAACGAGGCCTCTCTAGAACAAGGCCTCGGCACTCTCACTGCCCATTGGCCCTGATGTCGCCACCCTATCGTCTCCCGCAATGGCCTCCACAATCCTCCGCACCTCAAGACCCACAACATTTCAACCCTCCCCGTCGAGGCGACTACTACGACAACGGCAGCGATCCAAGCCGTCAGCTGGACGACGACGACGTCACGACTCTAGTCGCCGACGGCAGGGACAGCTGGAAGCAGCAACAATGCCGTCCAGCAGACGACCTGGCCGACGAGTCCTTCCTGGGCGTGCCGATATTCCGAGGAGATGTCGTACGCGATACTGAGGAAGATGGCGGCGGCAGCAATCTGGAGCTGTCCTTTTTGGACGACGACCACGCCGCAGCAGCGTCGACGACGATGCCGGGAGGCGAGAGGGCATCTCCTACATGGAACAGCGGCAACCGTGCCGAACAACGAGCAACAACGACGGAACCAGTGGTTTCCGTTGGACCGGCCGTCAGTTCGTCGACCCCAATGAGGGTGCGGTTTGCCCCCGACGTCGGCGATGGAGGCACGGCGCTCCTAGAGGCGGCGGAGGCGTCGCCGTCGCCGCCACCACCACCGGCCGCAAGGGCAGACCGCCGAGGCGACGAAAACGAGCATGTCTTCGCGAGCGGGTCGTCGTGCTTTGTGCGCCATCGGAACGGCATGCACACGGCATGGCGGCGGAAGGCGGTGGTGCCAGACAACCCGAGGCAGCCGTTGCAGGTCACCGTGGCGGCCGCCCGAGCAGAACCTCCGAACGGGGTCATCGGCGGTAACACCAACAACACCATGAGAAGAAGAGATCCCGTGGCACCTTCAAGCAGGGAAGTAGTGATGAGTGCTGACCAGTTAATCGTGCAGTCGATGTCGTCTACCCAGCAGCAGCAGCAGCAGCAGCCTGTAAGACTCTTCCTCCGCCGAAGCCGGCTCCCGGTCTCTCCCGAACCTGCTGGAAAAGAAAACGTTCGCCCTGCGGCCGTTCTTAAAGAAACCAAGGGCAGCGTCGCGGGAGCGCGGCGGGCCAACGGCAGCCAGCAAGCGTTCCCGCTACCGTGGGGCGGCACTCACTCGCCCGTGACTGGTATGCAGCTGAATCGGGCTAGACCGGACGGGGGAGGATGGGGAGGAAGAGAGGCACTCCTAGAGGTACTGACCACACCGCCACCGCCACGGGCACGCCCGCGGTCGGCGCAACACGTTGCGCGTTCCCCGCCGCTGACCACCAGAATAAGCCCCAGCATTTCCACCAGGAGGGCCGTCGTCGTCGTTGACGACGAGAACACCCCGCCCCCCAGGCGGCGAACGCCTTCGACGCCGGCGGTGGCGGCGGCGGCGGCGGCGGCCCCCCTGTCCTCCGTGGCGATCCGGGAGAACCTCGCCCGCGTCGCCCGCACGAGCAAGGTCGGTACCAAGGCCGACCCGGTGCACCTGTACCGGCAGAGGCAGGAGCTGGAGCAAGCGAGAACAAAGAAGGCCGCCGGCGTCGCCAGGAGCAGGAGGAAACCAACAAGCCGCGAAGGGCGGCCCACCGGCGGTATTTCCGTCTGGGGTACCGGCACGGCGGGGGGCTGGGTGGGGGTGAATTCCGGCGGGGGCGGGGAAAGGGTGGGTGGCGGCGGCGGCGGCGGCGGCGGCAGGGTAGGCTTGCGGTAGCAGCGCAGCGGCAAAAGGCGGCCGAAGAGATGCCATGGACGTACAGATGGGATCTGTGTCTGTGTGTGTAGCTGACCGACGGGTATGAGATCCGACGCCCTTAGTTGTTCGTGTTGGAAACTCATGCTAGCTTTATTGACGCATTTGCGGCTTGCTTTTTGCCGCTCGGGCCCTCCGCGATGGTCTGTCTCTTGTCGTAAGAGTTCGGTGTCTTGCGTCATTTCTGCCTTGCTTCGTGGCGGCGGTCGATTTGCAGGGGAGGGCGTAAATCTGAGGGGTTGACGCGTCGTCTCTCTTGTTACAGTCAGCTTCTCACAGGAAGCACTTTGATGAAGGTGGCGTTGTGGGTTCAAACAAACGAGGCGGCGATGCCTACAGCGTAGCGAATTGAACCCGGAAGTATCGCGGGAGTCTGCCTGGTTGGTTGTGCATTGTAGGCGGCGGTTTCCTCCCCGCGTGGCGTTTCGGCACAAGTGGTATAGGTTCGTCGTCCGAGGTTAGGCGTACGTGTTCCGAAGTCAATTGTGTATTGGTGAACTGGCGTTTCGTTCGTTCGAAGATCATTGCGTGGGTTCCACCCACGTGTGTTTTTGTTTGGAAATACTTTTGTTCATCGGTATTAGTTAGTATCCACGGCGCACGGCGCCTGTATCACAAAAATTACGCAGCCACCCTACCGTAAACGATCATAAGGATACTAATAAAATCGTGTGCGTGTCAGAAATGGGTGTGACCATTTGTGTGCTAGCTTGGGACGCTGACCATTGCTAAGACGGCGGTCTTGCAGCGGGACACAGAAAGCGGACACGCTTGGCTTGCTGTGTCGTCCGCGGGCGGCTCCGTTTACTGTTGTGTTCTCCGGAAAGAACATGGTGCGCTTGGACGGCGAGCAAGTGCGTTCGTTGTGGAGGAGCCAGCTCTTACGATGTTGTAGTTTCGCGTTCATCCTGTATCCGATCGCTTCAGAAATCGTTTCTTACGCAGAGTATTTCCCCGGCTATTGATGCCTTCGCGCGATGCGTCAATGCACGTACACGTGCTGCGTGCTGCCTATGGCCGTTCTCGAAATAGACGGAAAAAACATGTACTCAACACTATCAGGACGATGAACGTGGGACACACGACGCCACGACAGTTTTGATAGGACCTCACCAGTGGTAGAGGCCCAAGGCGTCTCCCATTCTCCTTGAAAATCAATTCGATCGGGACCCCCATAGCGGTTGTCGCGACACGACGGACTGCCGTTGCCCCGAGGAGACGCTAACCATGGCGTCTACGCCTATGCCGCGAGACGAACTGGGGGCGCTTGCACGAGCTAAACTGCTTCTTGTTTCATTCATCTCGAAACACACGCGCGTCTTCCTGCAACAGACTTCCCCGCACATCCTCTACTGGAGGCCAAAACGCACCTCCTCTATTGAACGCTACGAAACGCATCGATCGATATCTGTCGGGACATGAAGCCACTTGCCTGATTTTCCGGCTTATTATTGCAGGAAGCCTTCATTGAACACACACCACGGGAAAGGTTTTGTGGCACGCAATTCGCTGATTGGTCCACACCCCTGCGGCGGAGTTTCAAAAACAGGCACGAACCAAGCTCCTTGGTCGACGGGTGGCGTCGACCACGGTGGAATCAAGGACGGCAACTTGGGAAATCTTGGGAGAATCGTGTCGTCGGATGATGACCTTTTGTCATCATCCTGGCTGACTAAGAACAGGGGTGGAGAAGGATCTGCCGACCGACCGATCTCCGCGTGTCGTCTTGTTTGGCGATGGATGATGGATTTTTCTCATCTAGGCCGGGCGGAGAATCTTGTCGTGCTGCCTCTCGCCCGTCATCCCCGCGGTGGCTGAAAGAACCTTCGACAATACCTTACTGGCACGCAGTTTTATGCGAGATAATTCAGGTTGATATATAGGTATGTCTTCATCCACCCAGAGACACAAAGAAAGAGAGAAAAGGTTGGCTGTGGTTCAATGACATCGCTCGCCCTGAGATTGATTTTTCATTTTTCGAAAGAAGGTCGACCCCAGCGGTCGGCTGATGATCCGGACGAAGTGGCATGCAAATCGCTGATTGGTCGAATAATCGAGCAGCCTGGCTGGCCACTTGACCCACACACACCGCGCTCTTTCCCCCTGTGTTTCTACGGCTGCTTCGAACCCAACGGCGCGGTGTTCCCCACCGCCCGAAATAATACTCCCATACTGTGGAGAGGAAAGGGATGATCATCCACCGTGTACACACGGGCGGCACTTTGTCGCTCAACTCCTTGCGAGACAGCATACACTAGTCTACAACCCCACCTCCGAAATTTCCATGAAAACGTGGAAGCGATTCTTCCCGCCTCCGCCGTCACAACCACCACCACAACAGGAGGATATTTCGCCGTGATTGACGATTCCTCCACAATCGCCCGAGTACTATGCCACCACACCGACACTACGGAAAACAACCGATAGTCAGATCACGGGGTTTGCAACTTTGACTTCCTCCAACGCCGTGCGATGCCGAGCCCCTTCAGGGTGTTCTTGTCCGTTTCGGAGACCTGCAGGTACTTCCGGCAACAAGAACACTGTCTCCCCTCGGCTGCGACCTCCCCGTTCGTTTCCACGAGAAAAGCAACGGGCTTGGCGTGATCAACAACTCCTGACTCACAACGGAGAGCCATAGAAGGCAGAGCCACGTTTCGGTCTCCGACATTGACGAAGGCCCCAGCTCGAAACCTGTACGCATGCATCAGGTCTTCGTCCCGCTTCCGGTTGTTGTCTCCTCGAGGGCCTCGGCCCTCAGGATTGACGCCCGCGGACGCTTGACCTGGCCGAGTGATTGAACAGGGACGCAGCTCAGAAAGCGCCCGTGTCAAAAAGAGCTCTAGACACCAGGAGAAAATCGAGGAAGTAACAAAACCTGGAAACTATAATTAACACAAAAACAAACAAGGAAAAAGACGCCAGCAAATAGCAACAACGACGACATAGAGCACCAGCAGCAAAGGCAGCCAGACCTCTCCCCCAAACGTCCCCGCTTCGACCAGCGCCAGCAGAAGCAAAAGCAGCAGCAGCAGCAGCTGTGGCATCAAGACGAAACGGACAAGGATGCAGGGGAAGTTCGTCAGAGCGCGTTGCTTTCAACTGCTCGACAAGTTCAGCTCGGTAAAATAGACCAAGAAACAATAGCCAGGCGCTGCCACCTACAAAATACCATGCGCGAGCAATCTCTGCCGATCGAAAACAGCTGAGGGGGAGGGGGTCCGGGCAGGTGCGCACTGTTGGCCGGATTGCAACTCATCGGGGCAAGTCTTGTGGAAGGAACATTCCGAGACCGATTGTCGGCGATAATACCAAGCTCATCGAAGACAGTAGGGCGGAGCGGGGGG